GAGAACATTATCTGTCGTTTTAAGGTGTAGCCACAATTACTTAGCATAACAATGGGAGAAAATTCCACAGAAAGAAAAGGGAACAATTCAACCTCCAACAAATGATTTTTTCAGAAGGTCAATAGAGATTACAGAGAGGTGCAATTATAAGCACACAGAACTGTACTTTGAAACCCTGCTCAGCCTGACACAGAGCGGTACCATCTTAAAGTTTGCACAGTTGAAACTCAAGTTTGCTAATTGATATGGGTTTGTGCTTATAAATCACAAAGCAAATTTTACTTTGGACTCCATTAAATTCTTAACATTCTACATGTTGAAGATAATTAGGCAGGATTTGATCATATATGATTTGGCTATTCACTGCCTTCTGTTGCTTTAATTGCCAGAGTGGTTTGCTGTTGTTGGGTTGTTTTTGTTTAAAGGTTGGGGTTTTTTTTAAGTTGGCACACCAAAAGGTTATGTGGAGCACTGCTGCAATAAAGAATTCATCAGACTAAATATGATTATAAGGAAAAAAATGTCTCTGGAAGCAGGATGACTAGGACAAACACTGATGCAAATACACGCCCATTTAACTCTCTAAACAAGAAAGTTGCTTCAAAAGCCAGGTTTGAACGCCCCAGAAAAACGCATACTACACTTTTAAGATAAGTTTCTGTTAACAACTGTGTGTTTTGTTGCTACCAAAGTTCTTTGAAGAAAAGCATATTGTGCCATACATTTTATCAGAGCACACTCATCTTCCTTCTCTGCCAGGCAGATGACAGAAGAGTACTCAGTACTGCTGGCTTAATTGCCCCTCACCCCAGCAAAGCCATCCCCTGCTACTTCCCACTGACTCAGCTTGGAGGAAGTGTTTGGCCTTGTTTGGTTTCACTTGATGGCATACGGCCCCAGTCAGAGCAGAAATGAAGCCAAATAGGAAACCCAGATTGCAAAGTCACTGCACACTAGCACAGCTACAGCCATAATAGACATGGTGGGAGTTGCAGTTGCACAAAGCTCATTCTTTAATGAGCACAGCCACTTTCCCTGCTGGCTCCAGGAGAGCTAGAGCACCCAGTGCCACCAATGAGGCCAGGAGAGGGGAGCCATCCCAAAGCACAGATCAGCAAAGGGCAGTATAACCAGCTCTTACCTCCTAAGTTTGAGGGGTAGTGCTTGTAGGCTGAACTCATCAGCTCACACAGGAAATATCCTGCACCTGGCTGATGACTTGTAGCTTGCTCCATCTTGGCCATGCCATGTTCAAAGCCTGCAACGTTTGTCAAGTTTGACCAGACAGCATTGGCCCCCAGCAGGGGAAGAAGGCAGGAATGGCCCAAGCAGAGCATGGCACCAAAGGCCCAAGAAGGAAGAGCATGGCTGTGGAAAGAGCCAAGAACAGGGACTTGCAGATAGATGCAGTGATAGAAAAATAACTCAAGTACAGAGAAGAAGAAAAGGGATGGTGGAACTGGAAAGAAAGTGAGGGAATAAAATAAGGACAAATAATAAAAACAACAGCAGCAACAAGCTTAGACCAAGCTTAGTTTAGTAATTGTGCTATGACATGGCAAGGAGGAGTCAGGCAGATGAAATAAGTGGTTTGACAGAAGCTGTCTTCTCCAAGAAGTCCCTATCCTATTTTCTACAGTTCAGCTGGGAAGTTTCAACAGGCCCTCTATCTATCCCATCATGCAGGACAATCAGGACAGTTAGAGCCACTCTGACTTAAATGCCTCAGCAGAAAGCTTAAGGACAGCATAGGAAAGGAGGGAGCTCCTCTTGGAGCAAACCCTGCCAAGAGCCCATGGCTCATTTCGAGAGGCAGCTCCCAGCAAGTTCAAGATGCTGTAAGTCTCTCCCAGCAGCCAGGATAGAGGAGGGGCAGGAGCACATGGTCGTTCCTCTCAAAAACAGGTTCAGCAGTGACCTACCCTGCCAGCAGTGCCAAGGCAGCTCCTCCAAGAGCTGCAGTATTAGGCAGGCACACAGTGAACAGGGCTCAGGGCAGAGACACAGGAGGAACTTGCCCAGCAATAGCCAGATCTCAATAGCATTTGTCAGCTGATGATTTAATTACATAAGAAAACCTTGCCTCAGAAAGGCCAGAGCTATCCAGACTGTATGTTTTGAATGCTTAAAGCAGAGTACCAACAGTCCTGCAGCTCTTGAGATTGCAAGCTCATTAAGACAACAAACCTCCAGAGGCAGGTACTGGTTCTTTGTCTTACCAGAACGCTTGCCTCCACTGCCAACAGAAATCCTCTCCACCCCTTCTAAGAGGGTTGCTGCACAGATATAGTCATTTTTCAAACCACTCAGAGCTTTAACACATAGTATTTATTTTCATTGTTCAATTTCTCTCCAGAACATGGGGCTTCCCAAAGCAGTGTCACTTCACAGAACTCCAACACACCCAGGAGGGTGTGTGTCTGTCTAATAGCTGGACAGAGCCACTAAAGCCGTGCACAGGGCACCTCCTTGGACTGTCACCAGAAGGCATTTACACAGCTTTCAACCTAGGTCTATTTCTCAAGTAACATTAGCCTAAAACACAGCCATGTCTCATTCTTCATTTGAAAGATGGGCAGGTCAGGAAAAAGTAGGAGACTTTCTATAGCAGAAGAGCTATAGAAAGAGACTTTCTATAGAGAAGAGCTCCATCATCAGCCTGTGCAAACTGGAAAACAACCTTTAAAGACCTTCAGTTACTAGCATTAGAAGCAGGATTTTGCTGCTGAAAAGTTACCTACAGCAGAGTCTCATACTTTGCTTATGTCGAAGCTGGTTAGTGTGTAGGGCATAGGGAGAAACAGCGTCTGAGCATGGGAACCCAGCCCATTTTACAGCCCAAATCAACTCCACAGTCTTAACAGGCATTAAAAACCTCAGCATCTATTACCTCTGGCAACTACAGACTCAGGCCAGAAACCCAAACCAATTGGAGACTGTCACCCTCGCACACCTATCGCCAGGGCCCGGAACAGCCCGGCCAGAGCGCTCGGCAAGCGTTCACTCATCCTCTGCCCCAGCAGCAGCTGCAGATTTTGGACACGGTTACTCATTAATCAGAGAAAAAAACCAACATCAGCAGCGCCCGAAACAGCACTGGCCAGTCCGGACAGAAATTCCTATGGTGCGGGAGAGATAGCGGCATTCCCGGCTGTTACCGAGGAGTCGCGCCACGGATGTGCGGCTGGGCTGCGGCTGGGCTGTGTCCTGCTCCCCCAACCCCCGGCCGAAGGGAGAGAGAGAGTAGGGGCCGCCTCCAGCGCGGGGACCCCTCTCTTTGTGAATCCGCCCCTCCCCCCCCCGCCCCCCCCCCATTCCCCGGCGCTCACCGTGGTGGGACATGGGCAGCACCTCGTTGCCAGTGCCACCGTAGTTGTAGATGACGGCGGCGGCAGCGCCGCGCTCGGCGGCCAGGCGGATCTTGTCGGCGAAGGAGCAGCCGCCGCCGCGCTGGATGAGGGCGAGCCAGCCCGGGGAGCCGCCGGCCGGGGGGGCCCCGCTGAAGTTGGTAAGCGCGCTGCAGGCATTGAAGGCGTCGGGGCTGTCGGGCAGCACCAGCAGCCCCTCGGCCGACTGCAGCGGCGAGTCTAGCCCGTACAGGCCGCTCTCGCCCGCCTCCCAGCCGCTCTTGTTGCGGTCCACGCCGTTCTCCCATGACACGTTCAGCCAGGCGGTCCACGCCGCTGCCGCCGCTGCCCCGCGGGAACCGGGAGACGGAACGGCATAAAGCAACGTGGCCAGCGCCAGCAGCGCCGACCCCGACGGCATCCCAGCACGGCCCAGTCGCCCCACTGCCTAAAGCCGCCGCCGCGGCTGCCGGGGGAGGATCGGGGCCGCCCCCGCCGCGACACGCCCCCAGGACCGCGCACAACCGCACCGCACCGCGCACCATCGCACCATCGCACCGCGCCGCCCGCCGTCGTGGGAACCCCGCCGGGAGTGGACCGCACCGCTGCCTGGGGAGTGGAGACCTCGGACGCTGCGGCCCCGCCGGTGCTGTGGGGGGCGCGCATCCGGGCGTCCCCCTTCGCTATATTCTCTCCGGGCGCAGTGCGCCACCAACCCACGTTTCTCCCGAGGGTATACGGAAGGTCATTATTTGATCTATGAAACTCACGACAAAAAGTCCTGTTTCTCCAGTGCCCCGCAGTTATTTTTGGGACAGCCAGTTCACATGCACCAGCCCCTTGCTCCAGCACTTACACACTTTTGCCAAGTTGTCCTGCATCAGGCAGTGCGATCAGAGTGCTGGCAGAGTCATTGCAATCATGAGTGTGATATGCAGGGAATTTGAGGCCACAAAGGAAAATAACATGAGAAAGAACATTTCGAACTTCTCCAGAGACCCTCTCTTTTGACAGAGAGGCCTTGGCTCCTATCAGCTGCTCTTCAGGAATTGGCCCCAGCCCCAGGAGCCTTTCAAACACATCCCAAACAGCCACATCACTATGCACAGGCTGGAGCTCTGGGTGAGAGCCCATCACTGAGAAAGGAATATTCTTGGACAGTGATTACATGGCCCAGGATCAGCTGCTCCCTATGCAAGCACCAACAAAATAGTGTAAGCATAGAGTTCAACGCTTTCTCATACAAGCCAGCACCACTCAGTTTTTACCCCAGGCGTTGGGCTGATTCTGAACCTGTGTGATTGATAACCAGTACCACACCATCTGTCTGTGCCCATTTTCCTTTCTTTTCCTTGTGCTAAGAGCAGCATACTGAGCATTACATAGCCAAACTCAGCTCAGGTTTGAATTCCCCCTGGGAACAAGGGCTTCAGAATCAGCCCACTCCCCCTGCCAGCCACAGGCGCTTCAAAACCAACCCCTCCACAAACATCCACCCCACCAGCACAGCAGCTACAGGTTTTGGCAGCTCAGTAGCACAGGGAGATTGGTTTGGTTTTGCTGCTGCAATAGCAGCATGCAGAGCAAGTAATAAAGAGCAGATGAAGCAATTTGCTCAAGACCAGTATTGCTTACTAAGTGAACACTTTTGTCCTAACCTAAACAAACCTTCATTTTCCCATTCCACATCTAACTAGAAATCTTATTTCAACAGTGTCAGCTCCAGCTATAATGAGGAGTAAATCCATAAGCAATCAGAGACACCTGTTTTGTTTTGTAACCTGTTCCATGTAAGGGCAGGGAAAAACTTAACACACCTCTGAAAATACAACCAAGCATTCTGCAATCAATAGCAGCAAATCTTCTCAGACTCAAATGCCTACAAAACTTTAGGGATGTTTACCTCTAGCGTTTTCACTCATACAAAACGAACCAAAGTCAAAGGCTGGAACCTTCTCACAATATAAATTTTTCTATAGATCTGGGGATTTTGAGCATAAAACTTGGCTGCAATCTCTTACCCATGTGTGCATTACAGTACATCATACGATTAAAAAGCACAAACACAGGCTGGGTGAAGTATGGATTGAGAGCAGCCCTGAGAAGGATTGGTGATGGAAGGAAGGGTGTTGATTGAGGAGAAGTTCAACCAGCCTTGATTGGTTTGGCAGGGAAGCCAGTTGCAAGGGGCCAGCAGTCCCTGTGCATCCTGGCCTGGTCAGGGAATTGTCTGGGCCAGCGAGGAATGGGTCAGGTGACTGGGAATCCCCAGCAGAGACATATTTTAAAACCTGATGCCAGTTGTACCTATTTGAGGCCACATATCTCACAACCAAGAACTTTCTGGCTCTTGGAATCAGAAAAATTAAGGAAAAAAAAGATCTATCTTGCAATCTGCAAAGCACATACCTATGCTGCAGACACCTGCAGATTCATTTGTGTCCTCTCACCTCAAAAAATACACTGGCGCCTTCAAACACTAAGGATTGATCCGCATCACTGTCTAAATTAATTTGCAGCTTGTACAAGTAAAAAAAAAGGACTAACTTCAGACACTTAGCCCTTTGGCTGCACTGTACCAAGCAGAACATAACAGCAGGGCCTTGCTGACTAAGCACTGAAGTCAAGACTCAAATTGCGTAACGTTATTTTTCTAAGTGAATCTCTTGATCAGAACAACAATCACCCACAAACACCCCCGATTCCGCAGAGCCTGTCTGTTGATTCCCTGAACCAAACTTCAGAGAAAGAAATGACTGGGTGCCTGCACCCTTTCACTCACCTTGATGCATCATCAGGAGGGTGTTACCTTTGCCTCATGAATTGTAAATCACGGCTGCTGTTGCACGCCTTCTGGTCACCACCTGAATTTTTTCAGCAAAACTGCAATTGCCTCTTTCAATCAGGGCTATCCACAGTGCTTTCATGATAGTGAAGTCAGTATTTTTGTCACAGGCATAAGGATCAGCAGATACTGGAATGCCCACCACACCCTGAGCACTGAGGCAAGGAGAATTAAACTCATACAGGCCACATTCACAGCTTTCAAACACAGTCCTATTGTTGGTGCTGTTGAAATAGAATAAACTGAGAGACGCCATCACAGAAATTGCCTCTGTAATGTGGAATGAAATTAAAAAATCCCTCAGGGGAAAGAGAAACCACTTCTCTACTCGCTTCATTGCTTTTCCCCAGCAGCACGAAACGGAGATATCCAGTGCTATTTTCCACTGCTGGTGACCACAGTGAAAGCACAGAATGCTGCCAAGTCCCAGTGTAAATCTGACACCAGCCAGGTGAGCTTCCGCAGTGTCAGGAGCTCAGTGGATGGGGTGCCAGGTCTGAAGCCCTGGGGATGTGCCTGCTGATTGTAGGGCAGGAGCTCAGGCAGAATGTCCTGCAGCCCAAACTTCCTTCTGCTGCCACACAATGCCCATCCTTCTCCCTCTCTTCCTCTCCCAGCACAGCACAAATTTCCCCTTGTTGATGCTTCCCCAGAGAATGCTCAGATGCCCCGCTCCTGTTTCCACCTGAGTGTCACTGCAGAGGAATAGATCATCTTTCATGCAGTTACATAAGCCCACGGTTCTCACTTCATGGTTGTCCCGGTTTGAAAGACAGGTGTCAGCTAGGGAAAAGCAAGGCTCTCTCTTGAAATGGAGAAAGTAAAATTCTCTCCCTCTGACTTAATATAATTGTGAAATTAAGGGGGTTCTCAGACAAAGATATAAGGATAGGAATAACAGTTCTTTACTAGTATGTATAACAAGGCAAACAAAACAACAGCTAAGGAATTAATAACAAACAGAACAGGAACACTCCTCTCGGCCGCAGGCACTTTCCCTTTGGTGCAGTTCCAGTCACAGCCAGCAGGGGCGCTGGTGCCATCATCCCCGCGCGGCTGCAGGAGGCTCGGAGAGCACGCGATGATGGCGGCATGGCCGAGACGGGAAGGGATGGAAGAGGGGCTTTGCTTCAGGAGCCCCGGGGCAGTGTCGGTCCCGGTGCCTCTGCAGGATGCTTGGAAACAGCAAGTTGAAGCAGCATGGTGTCCTAGCAGGACTGGGATGCAGGGTCCAGCAACAGAAGAAGAGGCAGCTTCCAGTGTTGGGATGGCAGTGGTAGCAGCGACCCTCCCCCTCCGGAGCCAAGAGCGAGCAAGCGAGCCACTGCCCCCACCCCCCGCTCCTTTTACCTGCTTCTAATTGCGTGGTGTCTGCCCTCCCTCCAAGAGAAACTCCCAAAAAGCCAGGGAGGTTCCCCTTCCCTCCCCCTCAAAGACCTCACCATCAGTGCTTCTTAGTATGTCAATGGAAAAAATTCCACAGGCAGAGAGGAAAGTAAAAACCAACCCTCAACAATGGTGAATCTGTGATGCAAATGTCTTTGTTAAGAAGGTCTAAAGCAAAGGGCAAGTACTAGTAATTATTAGAAAAAACTGCCCTTCTTCCAGGCAAGGTTGACCAAGTTATTTCCTGCATTTCTCCTTTTCAAATTCTTTCAGTCATCTACTCGGAGAGGTCCACTTGTTTTGGTGCTTCAAATGAACTGGTTGTACTCTTGATTGATGCACCAATGCATGAGATTTGGAATCATTTACACTGAACTCAGAAACAAACTCCCTCTGTCAGACCATTTTCACATTCCACATCACTTGAAAGATGTCCACTGAGAGGTCTGAATGATTATCACACATCTCTCCACTTCTGGCTACAAGCTCTGGAGATTCATTCTCTGAATTCAACCAGGCTTGTATTCCTTAACAATTCCTGGCACCCCTTCATGTTTTTTTAGTGTAGAACAGTAACAATGAACACCTTACCCATGACACAACTCTAATCCAACAGGAAAACAAAAGAGAAGTTGTCAAGTTCTCAAAACCTTTGTCCTGGTTTGCTGGAAGAGTCAGACTGCACGCAGTGTGGAAAGCCAAGAGAAGCTGCAATTTGGAGGCACACCTTGTGACAGGAGCTCAAGCTAGTTCTCCAGGAAAGGGGCTTGAAAAGAGCAGGCATCACTGTGGAGAAGATTCTTGGAAAAGCCAAACAGCTTTCCAGACGGGAAATGAAAATGGAAAGAAACAATCCAACATGTTCACATCTACTATTAATTCCCTTCCTTATATGCTCCCCTTTTCTGTGTTGCACTAGTTCTACATCACAGTAATTCAAAACTGATCTTACTTTGAAGACCTAGGACTTAGCAAGTTTTATACACTCTACAGTATCATTAGCTACACACAGTTTGCCTTCTCCCTGTTTTGCTTTGAAAAAAATACTGAAGACACCAGAAAGCTGCAAATGAAAGATTTTAGAGCATAGTGCTTTGGTCGGCTACGAGTTCTAGAGACAGGGTATGTGCTCGCATAGTATTTCCCCCTCAGTAGTGACAATACACAGCAGCAACAGAGGGGATTCCTAG